TATAGAGGAATCCAACTGATTTTTGTATGTTGATCTTATATCCTGCCACTTTGCTGAATCTTCCATTGAGGTCTAGTAGCTTTTTTACTGAGTCTTTGGGGTTTTCTACGTATAGGATCATATCGTCTGCAAATAGGGAGAGTCTGAATAGATGTTTTGTTAAATGATTTGGGCACTGCTAACAATTTGCATTATTTTGTGACTTAAAAAAGTGGGAGTCAAATTTCTTAATTCATTTTTACCAGCAAATGTTGTATAGTGAGGGGAATTTCTCATAGAAATATTACTGTGTCATGTTTAACTTATTAATATATAGGGAAAATATGATTAGATTGAACATTCCCTAGAAGTTGTTTAGTATTTAAAAAATATGTATATGCATTTGGTATTCTTTTTTCAGATTCTTTTTGAGTAATGCAGCAAAATCTATAAATAATGCCTCTAAGTATCCTAGAAAGATGGTGAAAAGCTGCTTTTGAGCAAATATTGGCTGGGAAATAATGGTTCCATTTTTTTCTGCTACACATATAACATGCACCTATAGCTTCATGTTCATTAATTTCAGAAGCAGTTGCTGACATAACAATGTGTAATGTGAATTTATTTGGTGTGGCACTCGATAAGTAGTGCAAGGTCAACAGTTCAAACACACTAGGTGTTCCTTGGAAACCTTATATGGGGTTCTATGAGTGAGACCTGACTTAACAATACTTAACAATAACAACTTTCTTGGAATAATTTATAATTTAATTTTTTTTCTAATCTGTATGTGTAGCACAGTGGGAAATGCATTGGGTTGTAAAATCGTTTTGAATTGTAAGGTCAGCTGTTGAAGCTCACCACCCATTCCTTGGGAACCTTGTACAGAGTCACTATGGGTTGGAACCGACTTGATGGCACTTAATAACAACATATACTAATGAATCTCAATAAAACTTGCTTTGTACCTGTTATCCCAATATAGTGGCAGCAGTAATGGGCTCAAGCATACCGATTGTGAGGATGGTGCAGGACCGGGCAGTATTTCATTTTGTTGTGCATAGGGTAACTATGAGTCTGAATCAATTCTATGGCACCTACCAAGAGCAACAGCCTAATGCTGTATATATTCTGGAACTATTTAAGTATTTTAGTTAAGACTATAGGTATACTTTGAAGTATTGTTGTTATTTTATGTGCCATTGAGTCAGCTTTGATTAATAGCAAGCTTGTATAAGGTTTCTGAGACTGTAAATCTTTATGGAAGAAGAAAGCCTTATCTTTCTACTTTGAATGACTGGTGGGCTTGAACTGCTGACTGTGATTCGTAGTCCTGTGCTTACTTTCTATAGCCACTGTTCTCCCTAACTTTTAAATAGTAAAATGCAAAGATTAACTAACTTAATTTCTGATTGAGAAGAGGAAACATAGGAAGGCATTTATAATTGAGTCTGTACCCTTAAACAGCTAGGCTTCTACTTGAAGCTTACATTGAATATTGGGACAGAATACCTATACCGTTAAACTCCTAAAATTCAGTGAGGTGATTTGAAATGCAGAATTTCATTCAAATTTTATCATGCACATATGTGAATTGCCTAGTATTTGTTTTATTTAATAATGAATATTTAGTAATTTAAAAAATATATATTTTACTTACTTTTTTTCTTTCTGCCTAGGACAATAGCAGAAGCCTTTTGTCATACATTGTTTCATATTATCTTCGAAATTTTGATGAGGTAAGAGAATTTTCACTCATAAGGCTTTTTTTTTTTCTTTTTTTGCATGGTTTGCATTTCCCTGTTTTGGTCATTGTTAGTATTTTACAATTCTTATTTATTTTGCTGATGACTTGTTTAAAAAGTGCGTGTTTCTTGCTAATTAGGATGCTGGAAAAGAGCAGTGTGTTTTTCCACTGCCAGAACCCCAAGACCTTTTTCAGGCCTCTCAGATGAAGTTTGAAGATTTTCAGAAAGATCTCAGAAAGTTAAAGAAGGACTTGAAAGGTAATTTTCAATCCTAATTGTAATTTGTAATCACATTTTTATTTATGCTTTCAAAATGAGAGATAACATAGTTTGAATTTTTAAAGTTTTGCAGAAAGTATATGAGTCTTTTATAACATATTAGGACTCATTTTGTAGTGTATGTGCCAGAAGAGTTAAAATTTTCTTTTGTTTTAAAAATTATGTGTTAGAATTTTAATTACTGAGTATAGTCTCATTATGTGAAAAGCTCTAGCTAGTAATTTAGCCTCCTTTCCCTTCTCCCAGCCTCCCACACCTGTAACTTTGAAAGAATGTTTCTTTCAATATGAAAAACAGTTCTTGAATTTTTTTAAAAAATAGTGGTTTGATAAAGTATTTGTCCTTTTGTGATTGACTAATTTCACTCAGTGTAATGTCCTTCAGATTAATCAAAGTTATAAGGTGTTTTAGATTCATTAATTTAGATTCTTCAGAGTTTCATGGTATTCCATTCTGTGCATGTTTATCCATTTTCCCATTAATGGACATTTAAGTTCTTTGTGTATTTTTGTTATGTGAATAGTGCTGTGATGAATGCAGTTGTGCATATAACTTGGGGGTAAGTAAAGACAATATATAATAGAGATCTGCCAAATGTGATGGAAGTAGGGGAATACATAGAGAGGAGTGTAAGAGTTAAAGAGAACAGACACCATCCTGCAAATGACAGTGATCTATGAGGAGACATGTGACTAGACATACAGGCTGACTGAGTGTGGGAGGGAGAGTAAGAGGATACCCAGGAAAAAATATTTTTCTCATGGATATATATATATATATGTATGTGTGTGTTTTACATAGGATATTTGTATATGTGTATTTACCTTTGCTGCAAATACGTCCATGAATGTGGCAGATCATACAGGGGACAGAGTTCTTAGACATAACCAAGCATCTTGAGGGAATCAGTTGCTGGCCTTGGTAACTCAGGACCAGCATCTCTGGGAACTCTAAGGTCACTTGAAATAATAATACACAAAGACAATGTTCTATATCCTACTTTGGTGATTAGTAACTGAGGTCTTAAAAGCATATGAGCAGCCATCTAAGGTGTAACTGTTGGTATCTCCTTGTTGTTGTTGTTGTAGGTGCTATTGAGTTGCTATTGACTTAAAAGTACCCCTATGCAGAATAGAACAAAACACTACCCGGTCCTGCACCAACCTCACAATTGTTGCTACAATTGAGCCCATTGCTACTGCCACTGTGCCAGTCCATCTCGTTGGGGGTCTTCCTCTTTTTCTCTGATCCTCCACTTTACCAAATGGTTGATCCAAGCAGAATGAACTGTTTGACAACTTCAATCATTTCTTCATTTATCATGATGTTATTTATTGCTCCAGTGGTGAGGATTTTTGGTTTCTTTACATTGAAGTGCAACCTACACCAAAGGCTGTGGTCTTTGATCTTCATCAGTATTTTAAGTCCTCTTTGCTTTCAGCAAGCAAGGTTGTATCATCTACATATTATAGGTTGTTAATGAGTCTTCCTCCAATTCTGATGCCATGTGTTCCTTCATATAATCCAGTTTCTTGGATTATTTGTTCGGCAACAGATTGAATAAATATGGTGAAAGAATACAACTCTGGCATACACCTTTTCTGATTTTAAATCATTCAGTATTCCCTTGTTTTGTTAGAACAACTGCCTCTTGGTCTATGTGCAGGTTCCTCATGAGTACAATTAAGTATTCCGGAATACTCCTTCTCTGCAATGTTCTCCTTAGTTTATCATAATCCACACAATCAAATGCTTTTAGTAGTCAATAAAGCACAGGTAAACATCTTTCTGGTAGTCTCTGCTTTCAGCCAAGATTCATCTTATGTTAGCAATGATATCCTTCATTCCATGTACTGTTCTGAATCTGGCTTGAAACTGAAAGTTTTCTGTCAATGTGTGGTTGCAGCCATTTTTGTATTATCTTTAGTAAAACTTTAATCACATGGGATATCAATGATATTTTGTCCAGTGATTTTTGCATTCCATTGGGTCACCTCTTTTTGGAATCGGAACAAATATGGATCTCTTCCAGTCAGTTAGCCAGGTAGTTGTCTTCCAAATTTCTTTGCAAAAAGAGTGAATACCTCAATTGCTGCATTAGCTTGTTGAAAGATTTCAATTTTGTATTCCATCATTTCCCCGTGCCTTGTTTTTTGCCAATGCCATCAGTGCACCTTGGACATCTTTATTCAATATTATTGCTACCTCTTGAAATGGTTGCACATCGACATTTTATTTCTGGTACAGTGATTCTGTGTATGCTCCTTCTGTTTTCTTTTAATGCTTTCTGCATCATTCAATATTTTGCCCATGTTATACAGGAGTTATGGTGTGGTACTGTGGGTTAATGCGCCAGACTGCAAAGCTGTTTGAATTGCAAGGTCAGCGGTTCAAGCTCACCTGCCGCTCCTTGGAAACCCTATACAGGGTCATTATGTGTCAGAATTGACTCAGTGACACTGAACAACAACAACAAATGCAGGCTCACTGTGAGTCGGAATTGACTTGATGCCTTTTAACAACACTAACATGAATAATAGCAAGGAGTTCTGGAAGAATGTATTGCTAGAAGTTTTGTTATTATATTCAGAGATTTGTTCTTATTTTTATGGCATCGAGAACACCTCAGCTACCTCCTTAATATTTGAGCCTGTTTCCAACTGTACTTATCACAGACAGTGATTGAATAAATCAAGTTCATATTATATTATTGAGTGAGAAGAAGCTGACTTGTCAGCAATGTATGGAAAACAAGAGATGTTGTTTTTAAGAGCCCCTATCCCAGTGTACTGGACTGCAAAGTCAGTTTAAACAGCAAGGTCTACAGTTCAAGCTCACCAGTCACTTCTCTGAAACCCTATATGGGGTCGTTATCGGTCAAAACTGACTCAGCGGCACTTAGCAACAACATTCCAATTTGAGATTTATTTTACCAAAAATGTTTATCTGTTATGAAATTAATGGAGTTATTATAACTTGTTGTTGTTAAGTACCGTGGAGTTGGTTCCGACTCATAGTAACCCTGAACAGGTTTTTCAAGATTGTAATCTTTACGGGAGAAGAAAGCCTCATCTTTCTCCCATGGAACAACTGGTAGTTTTGAACTGCTGACCTTGAAGTTAGCAGCCTGATTTGTAATTACTATGCTACCAGAGCTTATTATAACATAGGCATAGATATTTTATATGGATTTCAATCAACCTATTAACATTATATAGTTTTCTTTTAGTTCTTACCAATTTAACAACATTTATTTTCGACTTGTTACATTTTTAAACATTTGTTGTATGTTGCAGGTACACAAAGATACAGCTGTTAGGGAAGGGTGAAGGTCT